GTTGTAAAAATTAGTGAACGAAAATTTGTTAGCTATGACATTTTAGTCCAAACTATTTATCAATTAATCAACAACTTTTTTGTTACAGATTTGTTGTCTTTAAGTTGGCTCTTAAGGTTGTTTCTAGGAGGTGATCTTTTTGTGATCTATTGTCTGAACATTTTTACTTGTCATTTAATTTCATCTTGTGACAAATTTTTTGTTATTTAATGTTATCTGTATAATTCTTCATTATTGACGACCATGACTCTTTGTGTGTATGTAGAATTTTCAGCTCAGTTTGTTCTTAACATCTTTAAATCATCAATTGTAATGATGCACAAAGAACAATGAACCCTGTGTGTTATCACTTTACAGCGTAATATACCATTGAGAATACCATTGGGATAAAAGAGTCTTATTAGTTTTTGTTTAGTTTTTTTATTTTCCTATTAAGCTTTTATTTGTCAGTTCTAGTTTCATGTGGGCAGATATCGTGAACGCACAGGAGGAAATTGATTCTGCTAAAATGTTTTTTTTTTTTGCATAAAGACCTTGCTCAGTGCAGCCTCAAATACAATCAGAATGTTCTTTATTCATGTGAATAGTAACATGGGGTTTCTACCGACCCTGGGTGGATTTGGTGAAACGATTAAAGCCTGTGCAGTCAATCCAATCTTTACTGATGGAGCCAATCCTTGTCAAGGACACGTTGCTTTTAGTCCAAATTATAGCAGCATGCTGTGCTTCTACCTGCATCCAAGAAAAACAAACGTCTGTCTGTTATCTATGTTGCACAGCAAAAAGGATGATGGTTGTGGTGGTGGTGATAGTGGCGTATGATGGCACATACTGGAGCTCTAATGACAAAACAGCCATATCAACTGTATTTCACAGAAAATAGGATGATGTCTATGTGGGTGGGAGAGGCTGCCATTCTGCAAGATATCATAGCCTCCTATTGAGCAAAAAATCATGATTCTCTTCTCTTGTGTTCTACTGTATTTTGCTCTATGTTCATTTTTTTATGCTTAATGTGACCGCAGCCTTGGCCCAGATTCAGCTGATATCAGATAAATAAGTATAAGAGCATTATCTTTTCATAGAGGAATATTCCGTCCAGTACATACTGGCAGATAAAAGTATGAATTCACTTCATGCATGGAGGGTGTCTTCATCCGCTAGCTGTATGACGACCTCCTAAGGTTTACTGCGGAGTTCAGCCAGATTATGAATAATGGAGAAAGGTCAGGATAGATTTTTAATGGATTTATACACCACATGGTGACGGCTACATCAACAGGGATTTTGGAGTAATCGTTTCTGTTACAAAGGGTGGGGTATGTTTTTGTCTGAACTGTTGCTCTGCCGCAGCTGACTGCTGCTGCTGAGTTGAATCTACAATGAAAGTCTCATTGAATGTTAACACATGTACTCTCCATGCCAGGGTTAATACCACTAATCTGTCATCATTGGATGGGTGGAAAGTGAAAGAGTGACAGATACAACAAGGAAAATAAGTGAGGAAAACATAAAAAACATAAATATCACAAGGAGAGTTTAAAGGTGTATTCCACCTGTTTTGTAATAAATATTTAATTCTGTTATTACATTTACATCCTTTGGTTTTTCATTTACTCATGTTGTATGGTAACTAATGGGCAATATTTCTACTTTCAAGCTGTCATTAACAGTATAGTTAGCTAAACCAAACCTGCACCCTGACCAGATTTATTATTATTGTAAGAACCACGGTCCCTCGCTAAGAAGCTACGAGACATTTCACTTGCCCTTTGTTAGCGAACAGAGCAAAGGGTACTGTGGGCCGCAGCAAATGGCAAAATCCAAAACCTGCCTGTTTTACACTGTGCCCTCTCTGCACTGGCATCTCACTTCAACTATCGCTTGTGACTCTCACCCCCCAAACTAGCAGGAACAACAACAATCATCCTCCCCATTTCTCTGCCAATCACGGGTACGCTATCTCACACAAATCACTGTTATACGTCGCTGAGATGAGTGGCAGTCTTCACAGCTTCTAAGCATGTAACATGTTCACTGACTGAAAACTCAGCTGCAAAAACAGTCCTTTTTACCTTAGCTAACAGTCCTAACAAAGTGACAGTTACATTATAATACTCACCTCAACCTAATTTATAAAGCACCTTTCATACAAAGATGCAGCCCGAAGTGCTTCACAGAGCAAGATGTAAAAAAACATATACACATTGCAAAATAAAATAAATAAATACAAGAGGTAAAAAAACTATGAGAACCAATGGAGGCCAGGTGCAGAGGATCCGAGGGACATTCTGTGTATATCTAAAAAGTATGCCTTAGAGATCTCTTCATAATAGACCCCTTAACGATCCATCTCCCTTGCAAAATGTATTTTAAGTTTATGTTATGAAGTATGCTACAACGTAATGTATAATAAGAATTGAGTGAATGGGCTGGACAGACAGATAATTAAAATGCATGCTGTTTAGTTGTGCAAAACAGCAAATCTCTTTAGTCATTAGCAACTTAAGTCTTTGTTTCATGTTTCAAAGTGTCTAAGCAAAGTTGGGTCTCCACATGCATAAAAAACTCATTGCTCACTCCATTACATGAGGAGCTTTATCGTAATCCCTCCTCTTAATAAGCCATTTCATGTACATCACTATTTAAAAAGGGGGTCAGGGTGGCTCTTAATCAGTCATTCTACGTCTGTTGCAGCTCCAAAAGGCGGGTCGCAATGACTTTAAATGTGTCCTTTTAATGCATTGCATTGTGTGATGTGGGAGATGTAATTTACACAGAGTGTCAGCAGCAACCAAGGCTGAAAGTCGTGTCCCCCAGTTGACACCTAGTAAACACTCACTTAGCTTGCGTGTCCCCGTCCACCCCCACAATGCTGATGGAGACTAATGATCACACCCATGTGTAATTGCTCTGACATCTCTGTAACAGATCATATAGAGAGCAGTAAATCTGGAATGGCTCTAAATGGAAACAGAAACATTAGAAATATTCATCCATTATACTGGCCCCTGGGAAGCAGACTCTTTTTATCAGGGACTGAATCTACCTAGGTTGAACGATACTTGGAGATCTACTCTCGACAATCCATTGACAGTTGAGGAAGTTCGGGAAGC